TTCCTTTGTTCCTGGAGGTCAAATTATTTTCCTGGTATCATTTGTCTTTGGCCTGAAGACCTTCCTTTAGTATTTTTGTATGGAAGATTTGGTAGCTAAAGAGTCTTTTGGTTTTCATTCATCAGAGAATGTCTTTATTTTGCCTTTATTCCTGAAGGAAATATTTACTGAATATAGAGTTCTGTGGGCAGTTTGGTTTTTTCCCTCCCATAATTTTAAAGATAGTATCCTTAATCACATAGCCACACTTAACTGAAAGAGGACCCAAGAAATGAAGCCTGTAGCTCAGTGGCCATATGTTCAGTGAAATGCTTAGGGGATGCTGTTAGTAAGCACAGGAAAAATGGATCTTGTTGGACAACTGTTAATCTGCTGCATCTTGAAATTTGGGGGGGGGGAGTGACAAACACTTAAAAATGCTAGCTAAAATATTTTGAAAAGCTCATTCAAATGTATGGCTGCAAGAAAAATCTCAAGAAACAGAATCCTGACAGCAAGCACCAGCTAATTACTATGAACTAGGTCTTTTAAAAATTACTGTCAAAGATAAATTTTTATTTTGAAATAATTTTAAATTTACACAGAAGATTCAAGAACAGTAAAAATAACTCTCCTCTCCCTACAACTATATGAAAGCAAGTTGCTGACATATGTCCTATTATTCCTTTTAGTTTATGATATGCTGCCTTATGAATAAGGATATGCTTCCTAAAACACCATCATATAAACATCAAAATCAGCAAATTAACAGATTAATTCAACCATGTAATTCAAAAACTCTATCCAAAATTTTCCAGTTATTCCAGTAATGTCCTTTTTTCCCAGATACCTCACATATTATTACTGAATTAATCCACTAGTCACAGCCCTAATCAAACATGTCCAGTTGTCCAGACGATGGTGGCATCTTCAGCTGGATGTGGTTAAGAAGTGATGCTAATGCAGCATAAATATGTGTGCCTTCCATTCAAGAGCAATTCCTTATAGACCCAGCTTGGTTCTTCTCCAATGTCTCCTCTTGAGTTATACCTGATCTTATCACCAATTTTCATAAGAATCCATTGGGGAATGAGGTGATTTTGGTTTTGCTTGGTTTTGGCCAGGAATCTCTTGATTCTGAAGGTCTTGTGAGAAGACATGGCTAGGAAGAGTCAGGTACGCTCACCACGATGGTGGGAGAAGGGAACCAGTATTGTCCTTTTAAGCAAAGGATCTTGTGTTACCTTTAGTAGTCACATCTCTTTAATCTTCTTCAATCTGGAAAAGTTCCTCAGCCTTCCCTTGACTTTCATGGCTGACACTCTTAAAGATTACAGTACTTAAATTAGATTTATCTGATTTTTTCCCCATGATTAAATTCCAGTAATGTATTTTTGGCAGGAACATCACAAATGTGAGGCTACAGTTAATGCATTCCATTCTATCAGGTGGTACATACTTTAATTTTTCCTATTACTGGTCATCTTTCATTTATCATTTCATTAAGAAGATGCTTGCAAGGTTTCTCCACTATAAAGTTACTGATTTTTCTTTAGTAACCAGGGTTTTTTTTTTTTTTTTGACAGGCAGAGTGGACAGTGAGAGAGAGAGAGACAGAGAGAAAGGTCTTCCTTTTGCCGTTGGTTCACCCTCCAATGGCCGCCGCGGCTGGTGCGCTGCGGCCGGCGCACCGCGCTGATCCGATGGCAGGAGCCAGGAGCCAGGTGCTTTTCCTGGTCTCCCATGGGGTGCAGGGCCCAAGCACCTGAGCCATCCTCCACTGCACTCCCTGGCCACAGCAGAGGGCTGGCCTGGAAGAGGGACAACCGGGACAGAATCCGGCGCCCCGACCGGGACTAGAACCCGGTGTGCCGGCGCCACTAGGCGGAGGATTAGCCTAGTGAGCCGCGGCGCCGGCCGTAACCAGGGTTCTTTTTAAGGTAGATACTTTTGAAAGTAAAAAAGAAATGCCATTCCTCAACTATTGCCCACTAGTTTTGGCATCTCTTTTTTTTTCTAAATTATAATAATGATGATCACTAAATAGAGAGTTATCTAATTCTACCATTCCTGCTAGATTTATTTAGTTAGCATTCTACAATAAGGCAAAGTATTTGCATATCCCTGTTTATATATATCAGTATAGACTCATAGATTTCTGTTTTTTTTTCAAAGAATTGTAATTCTTTTCTGTTATTATTTTAATATAGAAATTGTGACCCATGGAAGCCCTTCTAGCTGATTTCTATTTTTTTTTTGCTTTAAGTGAATAAAAAATTCTAGAATGGGTTTAGATTAATAGAAAAGTAGCAGTGATGTTAGAAATTTCCTCATTCATGCCATACCCGCTTTCCACTATTGTCAAAATCTTATATTACTATATTTGTTACAACTAAGGAATCAACATTTTTATGTTAACAAAACTTCATACTTTTATTAAGACATAATCAATTTTTCTCTAATACCCTTTTTATATTCTAAGATCCCATCCAGGATAGCATATATTTAGTTGTCATGTCTCTTTAGCCTCCCCTGATCTGTGTTCTTTGTCCTTCTGTCATATTCCCATCATTCTTTATTTTAAGATTTATTTTTATTTATTTGAAAGAGTTACAGAGAGAGGTAGAGACAGAGACAGAGAGAGGTCTTCAATCCGCTGGTTCACTCTCCAGATGGCCACAACGGCCGGAGCTGAGCCAATTCGAAGCCAGGAGCCAGGAGCTTCTTCCAGGTCTCCCACACGGGTGCAGGGGCCCAGGGAGTTGGGCCATCTTCTACTGCTTTCTCAGGCCATAGCAGAGAGCTGGATCAGAAGAGGAGCAGCCGGTCCGTGTGGGATGCTGGCGCTTCAGGCCGGGGCTTTAACCCCCTGTGCCACAGCACCAGCCCCAATTTTTCTCTTTCTTGAACACTTCCTTACTTTATGTTATAACAAGATATTCGAGACTACTCCTGAATCAGTTGTTTTCCCACAGAGCCTTGTTTTATCATAGAGTAATATTTTAAGACAAACCGTGATGTGGATGCTTGTACCCACTGCCATTGAGAAATCACTGCTTCAGGCCCATTCTGTTCTCTGTAGGTGAAGCTCAGTGATACACACACACACACACACACACACACTTATATAGACATTACCAGTTCTAAACAGTGTTTTGCAAATGATGAATGCACACAGATACCTCTTCCAATAAAAAATCCTAGAATTGAGATTCCATATTTGTAACTCCTAACAGTGAGAAGCCTGATTCCCATTATTCTCCACATATTACTGGAGAAACTACCGTCCCCCTTCAAATCCTCTGCCCTGCCACCATGTTTGTGCCTCTCCACTCTGCTTAAACCCCGACTACACCAGGCTGCTACTGCCACTCCCAACTGTTGCTTTAATGTCTTTCTCACCCCCTCCAATTGATCTCCTGGTGCTGCTACCCCTGTATTCTCACCTCTTACACAGACCACTACATTGCTCAGCCCTATCTAGTGAACTGAATTATGAAAAAAGAAAAGGAAAGAGGAAGAAAGGTGAAGATATAAAGAAGAATCAGGAAGAAAGAGAAAGAAGGGAGAAATAGAATTGTATTGTTGCAGAGGATACATAGGCCAGGAAGCAAAGTCTAAACACTTCAGAAAACTCTACCAGCTATTATAGAACCTGAGAACAAGAAGTAATTTTCTAAGGGCTTAGAGAAAAGAAATGTCAATGTAGAATTGTGTATCCAGCAGAACAAGTAGGAATGAGGGCAAAATAAAGGAATTTTAGAAAATAATTGATTAAGAACAAACAACAAAAACTCCAAACTGCTTATCAACAATAATGGACATGCATTCAACAATGAGTTAATGTATATTTTCAAGCTATATGAAGCATTTATCAAAGTTGATGTATGCTAGGAGCTAAAACTCCAAAAGATACCTCCAGTTAAAGGAAAATACTTCAGAAAGAAGGATGGGGAGGTACGAAGGAATAGTGAGCAAAGAAATTGATAACTTGGATGAACTGAAATATTTTTATAAACAATGTCTAATTCATGGTGTTAACAATTAAATGCTTGACAACATTAATTGTTAAAGGAAGCTGAATCTTAAGCTATTTAAGCACTAAAAGAATAGCAATGGGATGTATAATAAACTATATGTATTAGGTAGGCTCCAGAGCTAGAATGCAGAATTCAAATCTCAGCCCTGACAATTAGTAGTTGGGTGATTTTGGGGAAATTATTTAATGCTTCTAAGTCTACATTTTTAAAATCAGGACAATGGAAATACTAATATGTAATTCATAGGGTGGTTGTAAAATTTAAGTAAAGCTATTTAAATGTAGAACAGTGCCTCACCTAAAGTAAGTGCTAAAAAAAAAAAGGTGTCAGTCACAATTACAACTTCCAAAACAGGAAGGGGAAAACATAAATATATGGGGGGTTGGGAACTTAACTCCAAAAGAAATGTAAAAAGATTCCTAAAGTATGGATATAGGAGTCAAATAGCACAAAATAAGGAAATATGAATCAAATAGCACAAAATAAGGGGCCAAAACATCATGTACGCAGTTTTAAAGTTAAAAGACAAAGGTTGTCAGGAAAAAAAAACGCTACTGTGCTGTTTATGAAACATGAAAGAGATGGGTAAAAGTGCAAGGTCAATAGGCTAGTCGGGGTCAATGCTTTGGAATCTTCTAGAACCTTCCTTCCCCTATGCTGGTCTCCGTCTACCCCCATGTTCCCTTCAGCCTCTTGGAGGTTTCCTCCTCCACCATCCCCATCCGCGTACCCCTCCTCAGCCGTCTCTGCTCCCCAGAGGCAGGCGGTGACTGAGACTCCATGGCCTCTCCCTTTGGCCCTGAGTTCACACCAGCGGCACCCATGGCAACCATCGCCCCGGGGAGGGCCTCACGCCCGCGCTCATTGGCTCTCAGTCAGCCCAGCCGCTGCGGTTGGTGAGGGCGCAGTGCCTACGCCGCGCCGGCTATTAAAGGAGCGCTTGTGACGCAACGGCGCCTTGGCGCGCATATTGGCTCCCGCCAGGCTCTGCCCGAGCTGCTTGGCCACGGTGGAGCCTCGTGTCTCGCCTCTGCCGCCGCCCTGTGACGGCCACTCCCGCTCCTGGACTTGCCGCTGCCGCCGTGTGTGTCGCCGCCACGGGCCTGGCTGTATGAGTAGGCCACAATCTTTCATGAGTAAACATATTCCTTTCTGTGGGGTTTTTGGTCACGCATTTATGGAGTTTCTGAAGGGCCCTGGAGATTACTGCCAGGCACAGCATGGCCTTTATGAGGACAAGTGAACTTGAGAAAGTCACTCTACTCCAGCAGGACGTCCCCATCAGAGAGAATAACCTGGACACAGACGTGTTGAATTGAAAGCATCGGAACATTTTACAAGAGTTCTGACCCGAATGGGGTAAACCTCTGTGCACTTGCTTTCCACCGACTCGGCATTATTAGTGAGTCGAAGAACAGCTGCTGCTTCTCAGGAAATTCATCTCATTTTCTGTCACCTGCCTATCTGAAGTGCTGAGAATTTCAAGTGGAGTGTGTTGAGGTGGACTTCAGTTTCTTGACATCATTTCTGTATTCAAAAGCTTTTAATTTTTTCGTGACCGTATTGAGTGGTTTTAAACGAAATTAACATGGCTCCGATGAACCGCCCGGCTCCTGTGGAAGTCACATACAGGAACATGAGATTCCTTATTACACACAACCCAACCACTGCAACCTTAAACAGGTTTATAGAGGAACTTAAGAAATTCGGAGTTACCACAATAGTGAGAGTGTGTGAAGCAACTTACGACACCGCCCTCATGGAGAAAGAAGGTATCCAGGTTCTGGATTGGCCTTTTGATGATGGATCATCTCCTTCCAATCAGATTGTTGATGACTGGTTAAGTCTTGTAAACATTAAATTCCGTGAAGAACCTGGTTGTTGTATTGCTGTCCACTGTGTTGCGGGTCTTGGGAGAACCCCAGTGCTTGTTGCCTTAGCGTTAATTGAAAGTGGAATGAAAAATGAAGATGCAGTGCAGTTTATTAGACAAAAGCGGCGTGGAGCTTTTAACAGCAAACAACTTTTGTATTTGGAGAAATACCGTTCTAAAATGCGGCTGCGCTTCAAAGACTCCAGTGGTCACAGAAACAACTGTTGCATTCAATAAAACTTAGCTGCCTGATGCTATTGCCTTGGAAGTGGAACTTGAGACTGGATCTAATTTTTCAGATCTATTAGCCAACATCTTAGTGAATAAGTCTAATGAAGCTCCCATAGGAATGTTGAAAAGCCACAAGCTTGACAGAATTGCCACTTCTGTTTTGCTTACTATTTATTATCCTATGCCAAAAAACAATATATAAAAAGTATAGTGAGATTAGATGCCAAGATACCCAGTACAATATGTGTTTATTTTTAGTATCATACAGAATTAAAATCCCAGGAACTTTGAACAGTACTCTAGACCTTACATCATTTATTCTTTAAGTCCTTTGAAACATTATAATAGGGCTTGTATGGTTATTTGCCTGTTCCTTTATGTTCACTACCCACAAGTGTACTGGTTTGTGCAACAAGTGATTTTGTTGGATTCTTATCAAGTCTTATGGTGATTATTTAGTCTTTCTATAAGTTCCTGTTAGGGAAAACTTTATTTTGAGAAATTAACCTCTGGTTTAAAGTTCATGCAAAATTCTCGTTGTGCAAGAAACACATGTGTTTAATTTCATCAGACAAAAAAGTCTTACCTTTGGGGAGGCAGAATGGGAGGAAGCTATGAAATATTTAGAGTAAAACACCTCTAATATGGGATATAAAATAGGCCCTTTAATTTAGTGAAAATTATCTTGAAAGGTAGAGATCTTCATCTTTTTAGCTAAAACAATTTTTAGACACAAAATTTCTGAAAATCTTGTAATACTTCTTACCTATTGGAAGTTGCATATTTTTATTTGAAATGTGACATTTTTTCCTTTGTCTTCCTAATCAAAAAAGAGTGGGTTTTACCTAATGAAATGATCAGGTACTTGCTATTGTATATGCTTTTTGAAATGCATATCTTAATATTGGGATACCTAATAATTTTACTACGAAATTGATAAAAAAGTTGATATTTAATAATCTTTTTAAAAAGATTTATTTATTTATTTTGAATGTCAGATTTACAGAGAGAGAGAAGGAGACGCAGAAAGAGAGAGAGAGAGAGGTCTTCCATTCGCTGGTTCACTCCCCAGTTGGCTGCAACGGCCAGAGCTGCGCCGATCCAAAGCCAGGAGCCAGGTGCTTCTTCCTGATCTCCCATGCGGGTGCAGGGGCCCAAGGACTTGGGCCATCTTCCACTGATTGCCAGGCCAGAGCAGAGAGCTGGATCGGAAGTGGAGCAGCCAGGACTTGAACTGGTGCCCAGCACTGTAGGCAGTGGCTCTACCTGCTGTGCCACAGCGCCGGCCCTAGATATGTATTAATCTTAGTACAACTATATAGTCATACTGTCTGGGAATTTAATGTTTAGTCGTACTGTCTGGGAATTTAATGTTGCGGCCATTTAGGGAGTGAATCAGTGGGTGGAAAATCTCTCTCTGTGCCTCTCCCTCTCTCTCTCTGTTGCTCTGTCAAATGAATAAATAAATCTTTTTAAAAAATTTGAATTCAATAGGAAATTATAACAACTCTAAACTATATATACCCAATAACATTGCTTCAAAATATATAAAGCGAACATGAACAGAACTACAAGGAAAATTGAACATTTTACTATAGCACTTGGAAATTTTACTGTTTATTCAGAAAAAGATAGATAAAAATCAGCAGGAATACAGACTTGAACAAAACAACAAACTTGATCTCATGAACCTAAAAAGGGCATTACATCCAACAATTGAGAATACATATTCATTTTAAGAGTACATTAAATGTTTTGTTGAATTCGGCAATGTATTTGGCTTTAAGCAAATTTTAAAATGTTCGGATAACATAACAACTCTTCTGACTACAGTTAAGATCCATACATTCTGAATTTTGGGAGTCTGTGTCTAGAGACTTCCATTTCTAGATAGGATGTAATAGTCAAATAAGCCCAAAACACTCATTTCAGCAGAAAGACATGGAAGAAAAACTACAAGTCTTATGTTTAAAGATAAGTGACAGCTGTGAAAGCAGTAAGTACCAGATGTATAGGATCCAGAGATGGAGGGATTCTCCTGCAGTGGATGCTTCTTTCTGATGTAATTGACTGATTCTGGACATGGACTAAAAGAAATCAGGCTTGGTCCATGCAAAAGGACTCTCCTGAGGTCAACAGAAAATTATTAAGCCTTTTGGAGGTCATGTAGGGCTGGTGTATTGGATTAGAAAACTGAAAAGCTTGACCAATTTCCTCTACCTGTTGCAAATTGAGTTCCATAGGAAACAGACAATGAATCTGAGATTTGTATTCAGACATTTATTGGAGGAGAGTGTTCTTAGGGAATAACACCTGTTTTAGAGTGAGAGAAGGAGGATGGGCATAAGAAGTCAATTGGTGGTACATACACTTGCAATAATAGTCTCAGCCAATCTGTGGAGTTCTGAAGATAGAATGTCAATTTAGAGATGTCTGCAATTGAGACCAGGGGCTAGATTTTCAGACTCTTGAATCAAGGAGTCATTGGATGCAGGCTTCCCTGGCGACTATGGCATAGCCTTGGGTGAAGCATCTTTCTTCAGTCAGTGGCAATTCCCTGAGTGGGATGCAGCTGGTGAAATGAATTTCAGACCTGAGTAGGGCTGTGCAATCACAGCCACTGTACTTAAATGGCATTTACTTAATTCTTGGGCTATGTATAGGAGGTTAGGAAGTTAGAATGAAGACTTTTAGACTCGCTTAATCTCATAGTGTTTAGGAGACAAAGATCTGCTAGAGAAACAGTTTCCAATTTCTACACATCCCTACCAAAACATAATTTTCAGTAGAGACATCTGGTGAGTGTGAAGTGGATTCCCATCGTGGTTTTAATTTTCTTTTCTTTTCTTTTCTTTTCTTTTCTTTTCTTTTCTTTTCTTTTCTTTTCTTTTCTTTTTTTTAACTACTCTTTCATTTAATTGACTTGGTTATTAAGAAGCCAACATGGGAAGTGAGATACTCAGCAGACTCATAGAATGGCGGATGTCCTAAATAGCACTCTGGCCTCAGAATCAGCCCTAAAGGCACTCGGATCTGGCTGAAAAGCCCATGAGAGTATTTCAGGCATGGAAAGCCAAGACACTCTGGCAAAAAGATCTCTGTGAGTGAGATCCCAGTGGAAAGAACAGGTCTTCAAAGAGGGAGGTGCCTTTCTCTGAAGGGAGGAGAGAACCTCCACTTTGACTATGACCGTGTCTAAACAAGATAAGAGTCGGAGAACTCAAGGGGCTTCCATAGCCTTGGAAACTCATGACTGGTGCATAGGGAGATTACTGATGCCATAAACAGGAGTGTCAATTTGTAAAGTCAACAACAGGAGTCACTGTGCACTTACTCCTCATGTAGGATCTCTGTCCTTAATGTGCTGTACACTGAGGCTTAATGCTATAACGAGTACTCAAACAGTATATTTCACTTTGTGTTTCTATGGGGGTGCAAACGATTGAAATCTTTACTTAATGTACACTAAACTGATCTTCTGTAAAAAAAAAAAAAAAAGAAATTATCAATTCCCAACTTGACTCTCACTGGGATTAAACATGACAATAGGTCTGATCTGATTTCATCATCATTTAAAAAAAATCATCTATTATTTTTCACTTTATGTTTCTGTGTGGGAGCAAACTGTTGAAATCCTTACTTAAGGTATACTAAGCTGATCTTCTGTATATTAA